GGTCATGTTTTGATGGCGTCCGGGTCATGTGATGTTGGTGTCCCGGTCATGTTTTGATGGTGTCCCGATCATGTTTTGATTGTGACCCAGTCATGTTGTGATGGTGTCCCGGTCCTGTTTTGATGGTGTCCCGGTCACCTTGTGATGGTGTCCCGGTCATGTTGTGATTGTGTCCCAGTCATGTTGTGACGGTGTCTCGGTCATGTTTTGATGGTGTCCCGATCATGTGATGGTGGGGCGGTCATGTTGTGATGGTGTCCCGATTATGTTTTGATTGTGTCCCAGTCATGTTGTGATGGTGTCCCGGTCGTGTTTTGATGGTGTCTCGGTCACGTTTTGATGGTGCCCCGGTCATGTTGTGATGGTGTCCCGGTCATGTGATGGTATCCCGGTCATGTTGTGATGGTGTGTCGGTTATGTTTTGATGGTGTCCCGGTCGTGTTGTGACGGTGTCCCGGTCATGTTTTGCACATGTGATGGTGGCGCGGTCATGTTGTGATGGTGTCCCGATCATGTTTTGCTTGTGTCCCAGTCATGTTGTGATGGTGTGCCGGTCCTGTTTTGATGGTATCCCGGTCATGTTTTGATGGGGTCCCGGTCATGTTGTGACGGTGTGCCGGTCATGTTTTGATGGTGTCCCGGTCGTGTTGTGACGGTGTCCCGGTCATGTTTTGATGGTGTCCCGGTCGTGTTGTGACGGTGTGCCGGTCATGTTTTGATGGTGTCCGGGTCATGTGACGGTGTGCCGGTCATGTTGTGATGGTGTCGTGGTCATCTTGTGATGGTTTTCCCGTCATGTCATGTTGGTGTCCCGGTCACCTTGTGATGGTGTCCCGGTCATGTTGTGATTGTGTCCCAGTGATGTTGTGACGGTGTCACGGTCATGTTTTGATGGTGTCCCGATCATGCGATGGTGGCGCGGTCATGTTGTGATGGTGTCCCGATCATGTTTTGATTGTGTCCCAGTCATGTTGTGATGGTGTTCCGGTCGTGTTTTGATGGTGTCCCGGTCATGTTTTGATGGTGTTCCGGTCATGTTTTGATGGTGTCTCGGTCATGTTGTGATGGTGTCCCGGTCATGTTTTAACGGTGTCCCGGTCGTGTTGTGACGGTGTCCCGGTCATGTTTTGATGGTGTGCCGGTCTTGTTGTGATGGTGTCCTGGTCATGTTTTGGCGGTGTGCCGGTTGTGTATTGATGGTGTCCGGGTCATGTGACGGTGTGCCGGTCATGTTGTGATGATGTCCTGGTCATCTTGTGATGGTTTTCCCGTTATGTCATGTTGGTGTCCCGGTCACCTTGTGATGGTGTCCCGGTCATGTTGTGATTGTGTCCCAGTGATGTTGCGACGGTGTCTCGGTCATGTTTGCATGTTGTGATGGTGTCCCGATCATCTTTTGATTGTGTTCCAGTCATGTTGTGATGGTGTCCCGATCATCTTTTGATTGTGTCCCAGTCATGTTGTGATGGTGTCCCGGTCATGTTGGAATGGTGTCCCGGTCATGTTTTAATGGTGTGCCGGTGGTGTTGTGACGGTGTCCCGGTCATGTTTTGATGGTGTGCCGGTCCTGTTGTGATGGTGTCCTGGTCTTGTTTTGGCGGTGTGCCGGTTATGTTTTGATGGTGTCCGGGTCATGTGACGGTGTCCCGGTCATGTTGTGATGTTGTCCTGGTCATCTTGTGATGGTTTTCCCGTCATGTCATGTTGGTGTCCCGGTCACCTTGTGATGGTGTCCCGGTCATGTTGTGATTGTGTCCCAATCATGTTGTGACGGTGTCCCAGTCATGTTGTGATGGTGTCTCGCTCATGTTGTGACGGTGTCCCGGTCATGTTTTGATGGTGTCCC